TTTATTTCTTTTATAATAATTAATAAAAATAATATAATTAATATATTTTTAATATTTACTGAGCACAAAACTGAAAATCCATTTTATACAAATTATGGAAGGGGGTTCCAACTCATATGAGAAATTATTTAGTCCTCGTTCAAAAAGGAAAAACTTATATAGAAAATCTTGAGCTTTCCGGGAAAAGAATTAATAAGATTCATATCTGAAAATTTTGAATTTAATTAATGGTTTCTAGCATGTACCTTTATATATATATAGATTAAGGGTGTAATTACATCTTTTAAACATAACTTCCCCTAAATAATAGATATTTTTTTTATTTCAAAATTAAAAATTTAGGATAATTTATATTTTTACATATATTACCTTTAAAAAATAAAAGAAATGAGACTTTTATGAATGATAGATAATTAAAGATAATATATTATGATAACATTGTTGAAAAAGAAAAAAAATATTTGTTTTTCTTATATAAAATATAAAAAAATTATTATTATTCTAGATTAAATTATAAATAAAAAAACATAGAGGAAGTTATTTGCATTAAAAAAAACAAAAATTAATATTAATTTTACTTTTAATGTTATATGAATTATTTAATTAAATAATTGATTAAATAAAAATAAAAATTTATTGTATTTCTCGATACCAATTACTAATGCCAAAACAATATTATTTTGATTAATTATTATTTTTTTAAACAAATTTACAATAGACCAAATTTAAACCATTATTTGAGAAAAAAATGCATTTTAAACGTGACTTGATGTCACTAAACTGAAAGTTCAACTACATTTTGATTAATTATTTAGATATAATTAATAATTAATATTTAATAATTAATAATGATATCTAATTCAGTTAGAACTAATTATTAATAATTACTTCCAAAATTCCGAACCAAAAACCCCAAACCCTTGCACCTTTGAAGATATTTTAGGGCACAAATTGCAGTAGGAAAAAAAAAACAAAAAATATATATTTTTAATGTAGAATTGGATTCTCTTCCTATTGCCATGAGAAAACACCGATTACGTGCAGTATCAAATAAGAAATGCAAAATAATTAAATGTGTGAAAATAAATAATTAATTAAAAGGAGGAAAAAGGGCGCCTCAAAATTCCTACCCACAGTCAATGGTGGAGATAACCCCTTCACGAATCTAACGGTCAGCTCCGTCTACCTGTCCCTTTGTTTAGACGAGAAGATCAATGAGAGTTGGTGGCTCCGTTCCTTCGAATAAATTATAACTCACTCCCCCTTCTCTCTCTACGTTATCATACCACACCAGAGGAGTCCGTCACTCTCCTCCTCCTCCTCCTCCTCCTCCTCCTCTTCCTCACTGCTTCAACAACCAACAATGGCCTCCTCAACTTCATCTCTCACCCTATCCCAAGTCCTCCTAGCTCGAGCCATCTCCCACCACGCTTCCACCCAATCCCCTGACAACCGTGTCTCCCTCTCCCCTCGCTCTCTTCCCGCCTTTTCTGGCCTCAAATCCATCGCCCCACGCTCCACCACTTCCCCCCGCCGCCGCCTCCTCCCTACCCGTCAGCTACGTCAAGTCCGTGCTGCTGCAGTTGAGACTCTCGATGCCACCGCCGAGGCTTCCCTTGTGGAGAAGTCGATCAACACGATCAGGTTCTTGGCCGTTGATGCAGTTGAGAAGGCCAATTCGGGCCACCCTGGCCTGCCCATGGGATGTGCTCCGATGGGTCATATATTGTACGACGAGGTCATGAAGTATAACCCGAAGAATCCTTATTGGTTCAACAGAGATCGGTTTGTTTTGTCTGCTGGGCATGGTTGCATGTTGCAGTATGCACTGCTTCACCTCGCTGGTTACGATAGTGTCCAGGTGGGTTCATTTATTAAAACCGACACCTTTTTTGGATTTTGATCTGTGTGTTATTTTTTCTGAACAATGAAATTGGAGCTTCTTCTTTTTTTTCTTTTTTTTTCTTTGGGTCTACAGCTGGTTTTGGCAAAAGAATGAAAATTTGTGTACTGTGCAGATCAATTGATGGACTATATTAAGAAGGAAGTTAGTGTACTTACATATTTATATTGGGAAAGCAGGTTTAGGATGGGCATGCATTTCTTAGCAAAATTCTTTTACTAAATCTTGATATGTAAATGTTGGTTTTCTTTTGACATCGTATAAGACATAAGTTCATTTTAGTTCACGGTCAAATCTTGCTAGCTCTGCCAGATTTCTTGATCCATAAAAGTGAATCGTCGGAAGAATTCATAAAAGTGAATTTTTGGAGTACCAAGTGAATTCAGTATTAATCTGTTAATAACAGATAATTGTCTTTTGGATTGTTTATTAGGAAGAAGACTTGAAGAATTTCCGTCAGTGGGGAAGCAGAACCCCAGGACATCCGGAGAACTTTGAGACTCCTGGTGTTGAAGTAACAACTGGTTAGACCCTTGCCATGGAAATTGTTTAATTTCATTTTCTTATCACTATAAATGTTTATGTAACTAAATACATCCATATCTTATTTTAATGCATAATTTTGCGTGTAGGCCCTCTTGGTCAGGGTATTGCAAATGCTGTGGGATTGGCTCTCGTAGAGAAGCATTTGGCTGCTAGATTCAACAAACCTGACAATGAGATTGTTGACCATTACACGTACAATCGCTGCCTAACTCTCTTTCCGTTGCCCCTCCTCCCCATTTTCCTACTATCCAGTTTATATTTTAGCTTGAAGTGCTTTGTCTTTTTTGGTTTGATGATATTGATATCTGTATTTGTAGATATGCTATCCTGGGAGATGGTTGTCAAATGGAAGGAGTTTCAAATGAAGCTTGTTCACTTGCTGGGCACTGGGGACTTGGGAAACTTATAGCTTTTTATGATGACAACCACATTTCTATTGATGGTGACACAGATATTGCCTTTACTGAGAATGTAGATAAGCGTTTTGAGGGCCTTGGGTGGCATGTCATCTGGGTGAAGAATGGAAACACTGGTTTTGATGATATCCGTGCTGCCATTAAGGAAGCAAAAGCTGTCAAAGACAAGCCCACTTTGATCAAGGTTGGATATTTTATGGATGTTTTGATTTCTTATTATATGCTTTGAATTGATCTTCCATGGAGGTTGAGCTTTGAGTCCAAAGTTTCAGATTTGTTTGTCAAGTCAGACTAACTTTTCTGCAATTGTTTTTAGAAAAATGAAATGTATTCTTTATACTGAAAGAAAATTTTATCAAACCTACATTTTCCCTCGTTCTTGATTTTGTAGATAGCATTATGGATTAGCGAATTGGGTCATGAATCCCCCTTTTTTTTTTTCTTTTTTTTTTGTGGTTTGAGGAAAATTGGAATGTTGTGCTTGGACTGGATTAGCTTACAATTTTTCTTGGGGTCCACATCTTTTCAGGTGACAACAACCATTGGTTATGGGTCTCCAAACAAGGCAAATTCATATAGTGTACATGGTAGTGCATTGGGTGCCAAGGAAGTGGATGCTACAAGGAAAAACCTTGGATGGCCATATGAACCTCTGCACGTGCCCGAGGATGTGAAGAAGTAAGTAGATCAGATGGGTTTTCTTATAAAATATCTACTTATCCGAGTGGGTTTGGTTTTTATAATTGTTTGGCATTTCTATAGGCACTGGAGCCGCCATGTCCCTGTTGGTGCTGCCCTCGAAGCTGAATGGAATGCTAAGTTTGCTGAATATGAGAAGAAGTACAAGGAGGAAGCTGCACAGCTAAAGTCCCTCATCACAGGTGCACTACCTGTTGGGTGGGAGAAGGCACTTCCAGTAAGTAGAGCTGTGGTCACCTTGTTTGCTCTTGTTCTTTACTTCACCACTCACTGATATATTTTATTTCTGAATGCACTTTGAACAAAACTAAATAAAATGTTTAGTAGGCACTTCAATTTTTCACGTGTGGAAAAGTAAATCCTCATTTCAAGTTCTTTTGCAATTTCCAGACATATACTCCAGAAAGCCCAGCTGAGGCGACTAGAAATCTGTCTCAGACATGCCTTAATGCCCTTGCAACAGTACTCCCTGGTTTTGTTGGTGGAAGTGCAGACCTTGCTTCTTCCAATATGACAATCATGAAAATGTTTGGGGACTTCCAAAAGGACACTCCAGAAGAACGCAATCTTAGGTTTGGTGTTAGAGAGCATGGGATGGGATCCATCTGCAATGGCATTGCCCTTCACAGCCCTGGCATGATTCCTTACTGTGCTACTTTCTTTGTCTTCACTGACTACATGAGAGCTGCCATTAGAATTTCTGCTTTGTCTGAAGCTGGAGTTATTTATGTTATGACCCACGATTCCATTGGTCTTGGTGAAGATGGGCCAACTCACCAGCCTATTGAACACTTGGCAAGCTTCCGTGCAATGCCCAACATTTTAATGCTCCGCCCAGCTGATGGAAATGAAACTGTTGGTGCATATAAAGTTGCTGTTGCCAACAGGAAGAGACCCTCAATCCTCGCCCTCTCTAGGCAAAAGCTGCCCCATCTTCCCGGATCTTCCAGCGAGGGTGTTGAAAAGGGTGGCTACATTATCTCAGACAACTCCTCAAGCAACAAACCAGATGTCATTCTGGTTGGAACTGGTTCTGAGTTAGAAATTGCTGCTAAAGCTGGTGAGGAACTCAGAAAGGAAGGCAAGGCTGTTAGGGTTGTCTCTCTTGTTTCCTGGGAGCTTTTTGACGAGCAGTCAAATGCCTACAAGGAAAGTGTCTTCCCAGCTGCTGTATCAGCTAGGGTCAGCATTGAGGCTGGATCAACATTTGGGTGGGAGAAGATTGTTGGACCTAAAGGAAAGTCAATTGGTATTGACCGCTTTGGGGCAAGTGCACCGGCAGGCAGAATATACAAGGAGTTGGGTCTCACTGTAGAGGCTGTCATCGCATCAGCAAAAGAAGTTTGCTAGACTCAATAATGATTCAAGAGTGTCTGCGAGAACTTGGGATTTTTGGGTTGGAGGAGGTTAGAGTGAAGACGCCATTCTAAGGAGGTCTGCTTCACGAACATGATCTCTCTTGTTTTAATAAGAACCAAATTAAATTTGACTTTCACTTTGTAATTTCATTTGTAGCAAGATAGAGCAAACGGGAGAGTGGAATTCCTTAAAAGTTGTAATAACTCTTGAACTTGTCTCAAGAGTTTTGAAATGTCTGTGGTTGTTTGAGAATACAGCTAGCATTTCCTACATTATTCATTCTTTTTTTGTCATCTTGAGTTATGCTGCTGGAGTTTTAATTGCAATATGGATTAGGTATAATAAGGTCATATGTAAGTTCTGCTTATGTAGAAAATCATGAAATCTGATTCTACAAATTTCTGAACTGAATGGATGTGCCAGTACCAAGAAAAGAGTGGATGGACATTTCTACTTACTGACCACAAAAGGGAAAACCCCTTAAAAGAAAAAAAACTCAGTTTGGTGAATGGGTGGTTGAAAAGGAGCTAAAATGTCCCAACCAGGAAAAGGGCATTTTGTGAAGAATCTGATTTGGATTGAATAATGGTTTCAAGCCATTCAAGAAGGGGGTTTAATAACAAACAAATAATCTGTGTCCTAAATTTGAAAGAAAGGAAGATATTGACCTATTGATAAGTTTATGGTTGATGGAGCTTCTGTTCCCAGCCTGCCTATCCACATTGTCTTTTAGTATAACCATCTAAACTTTTACCTGTCCTAGAAGTATTATGTTGCTGGATACCTTGCTGAGAAACCGACGGTTTAAAATCTGATTCAAGAATTGGGACCCATCTTACAAGTACTGTTTAGGTTTTTTTACATAGTATTATTGTTATTAATAACTGATTTTTGACCAACCGGGCTTGAGGCCAATAATTGGTCCTCAAGCCTTAGGACTTGGGTGAGGCGAAGGTTAGGGTTTCGAGTTTAGCCACTGTCGTGAATTCCATCAACTTGTGACTTAATCGTCGTGCACCTCATATGAGGGGTGGAATGTTCACCATTTTGAGAAATCCCATCTGCTAACAAACTAACTCTACTAACTTTCTAACCATTATCCTTTAAAAAGAAAAAAAAAAAACTGATTTTTGACATCAAAGTATTTTGGGATATTCAAAAAGATGTGTCAAGATATTCCAGCATATTCTTTCTTGAAGAGCAGGCGGGTAGTTGCCCGGGGTTGTTACCCTGTTAATGTGTAAACTTCCAAGAGAAAGCATATGCTTTGCAGGAAGTCCAAGTTTTGTGACTTTCCTGTGGAAACAACTGTAAAATTGTTTTGAAAATACGTATCCAATTGGGTTTCTTTTCAACCAACAGAAATTTGGGTATGGTTATTATTATTATAAAAAA